GCATCCAAATTAAATCAGCCACACAAAACTGCGCTGAACTCTGCTGCATTGAGTAATAATCAAATAAACATATAAAGTAAACCAATAAACCACTAATGAAGCAAAAGTGCCAAAAGGGAAACAGAGTATTCCGTTGGAGCGCCTTGAGCGAACATAATTCCTATTAAAATATAAACACAAAATAGCTGCGCTCACGTACTTATTTACTACTAAACTATATCAAAATGAGGAGCGGAGAACGCGAGACTGTGCATACAATATCGTACAAAACCAAATAAGTAAATGTAAAAATTTACAATATATAATGTATATGAATTAATGTGTTCAGACACAGCATAATAGCGACACCTGATTCTTTTCTAGCACAACGCAACAGAAAGCGCAGCAATTCACATACGCCAAGGGTTAATTAATTAACACTAAACTTATTAAAATAATGATTTAATAGTACAATAGCCAATTTAATCCAGAGTGATTATATTCCATTTACAACCAAGCACCTGACAGATGCCAGAGCAGAAGTAAACAGACATACATAACCTATGAGTATAGCAATGAAGATAGGAGACCGAGTATAACCTAACAAATAATGACCATAGACTATATAAATCCATTGTTCAAATTTAATTCCCAAATTATTTCGTAGCAGAATAATAAATTAGCGATTAATGTCGGGAACACCCAATTGCTCAGAAGAAACAGATACCTAAAAATATGCTTTGAACGGGAGACAGAAAATCGGGCAAAGTAAAAGAGCAAGAGCGTGACCATAAATCATAAAGTATATAGAGATAGAACCTAGTGTTCATAAAATTCCCTAGTTCACTCCATAATGGTTATCAACCGTCAAATTAACCATCAAACCATCAAATTAATTAATTATACAGAATATATAAGTGCTCATAAGCGAAAATGCATAAACAAAACAGTTTGAACAAATCAAAATGACCAAAACCAAAAAATAATGTACCTACAAAAGATAACCATAAGCCGCAAGCTACGCCTAGTTGGTAACCAACCGCAGCACCAAAGATATTACCAACAACAAATATTCCATTTACCAAACAATAATACTCGGCCGCTCACTCCGTAACGGCTATCCACAGACAAATTATCTGCCGCGCAGTAGTTACCTACCACGCGCCAATTACCCGTTACACAGTTACCGACTGCAGAACTGTCCATCGTGCTGCCGCGCAATCCTAGGAAACCATACTTACCATCAGACATACCATCTAGGATAAGTCTGGCATACAATACTAAAACGAAAAGATAATTCTGCTAAAATCAAAGCGATCACAGATAAACTTCCAGACGGGCCAACATCAGGAATTAATTAATTAATATATAAAGAAATAAGTCAATACTATGATTATAAATATATTACATATATAAAACATCATATAAGTTTGTAATAAAATAAATAAAATAAAATATGATTATAAATTAAAACGTATAAAGTAGCCTGACAAAATGTACGTCAATAAAATAATTAGGAAAATAAAATCAACCCGAATAAGCCCCGCAAATTGCGCAGATTGCAGGACGCACTGCGTTACTGCATTATCACGTCGCAGAGAAACAAATTATACAAAAACAACGAAGATAAAGGAAAACAATCGCCAAGGAATGAGAGGCCGAATAAATAAATAAAATAAGACCCTTAACCAAAGCAAAATCAATATCAAACGCATATAGTCAGGAAAATCCCGTGGAACCAATCAAACATCAAACAACACACAGTCAAATAATATTAATTAATAAAATGAAATGAAATAAATCAAACCAAAATAGAATCAAGGCAAGAAGGCAACTAATAGAAAGGAAATATGAAATGTGAGCCCGACATAATGCATGACGTAGTAAAATAATGCGACAAACGCGGTCACCAAAGTAAATCGCAAAATTATACATTATACTGCCGTACCGCTTGCAGACAACACCGACAAATTATATCGATACAGCTAGCAAACAACGTAAAACAAATAATGAGAAATAAATGAAATAGATGAATAAGGTCGAAAATCGATCGAACCACAATAAATACATGAATAATGCCGAGCCAATCAAGAAGGTTGAATCAATCGATCAATTCAATTTATAAATCGGAATAAAGGGAAAACAATAGTAACCGAGAAAAAAGGTGAACCCAGCATAATGAGCAAATAAATAAAATAAAATAAAATGAATGAAATAAGATGCAGTGAGGAAAGCAAAACAGCAAGATGTAAATACAAAATTATTCGGCCCACTGAAATAACGTATGATTATAAATAAATATTATACCCATAGGAAAGTTAATTACCGATAATGTGGCAGTGCATAAATAGCTGAATATAAGTTAACGCCACCAAATTGAGTACAGTAATGCTTCGAAATAAGCAAGTGACTCGGGACCGAACAGTTGCTTATTTCGAAGCAGGTTGCTATTCGGCTTGACTTTGTTCTCGAAACGGGACGATAGAGAACGCGAGAAACGAGTGAGAGATCCGAGGTAGCGGCAAATCATAAAGTGATCGGCCGAGCAGCGATGTTATTTTTTGAACAAGGATAGAATATAGCATGCCCTCTCATTCTCGCACTATGCTTTATTTCGAAGCAAATATACCCGACTGAGAAAGCATTATATATATTCCATCCTTCTTCTACTAACCGATGTCAATGCTCAGTCGAGCGTGAAATTTATTACCCTAAACATCGGCTTCGCGCTTTCATAGACCTCTTACTCATTTCTCGTACCTCTCACTTTGCGGACGACTTCAAACAAAGAAGAGGGGATAGCGAGTTGCTTATTTCGAAGCAGAGACCACTTGCTTATGGGCACAGACTCCTTGTGCCATGACCTGTATGCGTGCACTCACACAATCAACGGAAAGCATGCACGTATACGCCATGCGCGAGAGAGACATTCAATTTCGTAGAATCGATTTTTCGTCTTGATAATTGCATAAATAAAATTTTCGCGAGTACAGCACACACAGGTAGACTTCGGCACAGGTCGGTCTGGTCCGCTTGAACGCTAATAAACACCATTCGTTGAGAAAAACCGTATTTTCGAAATTGTAAGATTGAGACAGACGCTGTTGTAAGCAAACAACATGGCTGCCGAATGCTGCGTTCGGCTGCATTTTAGCAAATATTGGACGATTTAATGGTTTTTTCACCGACAGCACACCAGACCGACTTTCCTTAAACTAGCACAATATCACTGAAATTCGATTTTTCACAACTTATCACTTCTGGAAGACGTAAAATCGATTCTACGATTTGCACGCATCAGACGTAAAATAGACATAAGAATAGTTCAATGATTTTCCGTCAGAGGCATTGATGGTATATTTGACCACGTTATCATCAGGGTCGATAAAAACACAAATCAGTCGATAAATGTAAATTCTAATTTGACACCACAAATAGCTACGCGAATATAGTCAGAAGTATGGCATAGTTGCCGCATCGTATTAAGACTTCTGTCACGCTGTTGCCACATCTGTTACAATTGCAACAGGCTCGAGCCGATTTTGATTCCTGCCAGACATAGAAAAGAATAGGGCGCTCGAGAGAGAAAGAGGTTCGAGAATGAAACAATACATGTACTAATGTGTGCATCCATCAAACTTTTTTATTCATATTTATAATCATGTTTTTTTCATCAATTAAATTACAGATAGAATACTTGAAATGGTATGCCAGAAAAATGAATTATAAAACTTGCACCATATACAGTGAAAACTCGATAAATGTACATAATTATTGCCGGTCCACTCCGCAACTGTTATGGAATAGGAGAATCATTTTTCAAATTTGATTGCCTAGTCAGTAAACACTGATTAGAAAGAGTCAGTAGCTAAAGACGAAAGAGGGACTAAAACCGGGATTTATTGCCTTCATCTAAATGCCTCGTGTCAATGTGACCATACTAATGCACAGAATAAAGTTTTTTATTTTAATAAAAATTTCACTATCATGTGGAGAAGATTTTTCTGATTAAAATGAAGCTAAACACAATATAAATTGGTCAACATTTAATACCATAATATTGGGTTAAATGTTGTGCTTGTGAGTCTTTCTCTCTTTGTTTATCCTTCTTGCGCTATCCTTTTCTATGTTCGGAAACATCAAAGAACGGCGGATTCGTGGTGCTGGTAGGGGTAGAATGAATGAAATAATACACATAACGTAAGTACGCGGCCATAAGACTTATAGGAATGAAAACTACCTGACATAATAATTTCAAGAATGGAATAAGAAATAAAGAAATTAATAATGAATTTTAATATAATTCTGTCACACTTAGACTGGGACACTCTGTATATGCAGGTACAATTATATTAAAATTCATTATTATATTTCAAATGAAAAAGATTTCAATAACACGTGGCTGGAGTGGCTGTCATGGGAATCGACGATATAGACGGCGCGGAGAAAGAAGAGGCATTTTTTATATTTATTAATTATATTTCAATCGATAAATATTGTATATTATAGATCAATTTACATGTCTTTATTTTTCATTCCTTTCCTGAAATTATTAATGCCATATAGTTTTTATTCCTATAAGTCTTATAGTCGCGTACGTTATGTGTATTACAGAGTCTCATCGAATCTGTCGTAGCGTGTGACTATATTTACGCCGATCGGCCCTACGTTGTTTCATTCATGATATTCCTTCTCTCTCTCTCGCGCTGTCCTTTTCTATGTCCGCCAGGAATCAAAATCTCGCTCGGCTCGAGCAAATTCATTTTGCTAGATGGTCACAGATGCGGCAACACCGCGATAGAACTCTCAAATGATGTGATTTGGCAACTATGCCACCTCACTTTCGTTTCTTATTCTGCATAATGACGTTAGATGTCACACCGTCAAATGTCGAATTTCTCAATTATGTGTTTTCACGATTGCCCGATTCTTTCCAATGGCGCTTACATCGATTCGGAGGAGGCCTCGAAGGAGTCTGTGCCCTTATTTCGAAGCATTACTGTAAATTGAGTGATTCCTACAGTGAGATAGTATAGTATACTAGAAGATACCCGCGACTTCGTCCGCGTTGAATTTTTTATTTTATTTTAATATAACTGCAATATCTTATTTGATATAACTGCATTACCTCAAGCGCGTATCATTAGAATCGCGCGTGACAAAAAATAACGCATCGATAACAGTACGTCATGGGTGATTTGGAAATCTATTATTACGGTTGTCGCCCTAATGCGCCATGCGCGATTCATATAATACGCGCTTGAGGTTATCCAAGCACTATGGTCGCCGCGGGGGCCAAGACGTGCGGCGCGGGAAAGGAGACGTGACATCTGACAATCGGCCGAGAAGAGCAGTTAATTCCGAAACCTGATCTATAACATATTTGAAGCTCACGGAAATCTGTTCTTTTTATTTTTTGGAAAACAATAGGTAGCCTATGACCTTCCTAAGGATGCAATCTATCTCCTTGCCAAGTTTTATCGAAATCTGTTCAGCGGTTTAGGCGTGAAAAAGTAACAAACAGACAGACAGACAGACAGATAGACAGAGTTACTTTCGCATTTATAATATTAGTATGGATATTAGAGCAAAGCAAAACTGTTGAGAGTGTGGTACATTTCTATATATTACATTCTCATAGATTCGAGAAGTGCTGTCCTCATTAAGAGAGCGGTTGTATGGTACGTTATCTTGTATATGGTGTCGTCGCAGTGGAAGCGTGCGTAGCGAAACATAGCGAGACGCAGTTTATATTATTAAGCACTGTATTCTTATCAATAATAAATATTGTATTCTTATCAAAAACAATATTGAAAACATACATATTGAAGACCGTAGAAACCCCATACCGTACAGACAGATGTGAAGTATTGCAAGAATCACAAAAGTTTCACCAGCAGGAAGTAGAAGGAGAGTCGGAGGAGAACAATAAATCAAAGAAGAGAGAAATAGCAAAATACTAGTAAGTATAAAAGTAGGTAAGTAAATTAAGCCATAAGAGAGCCAATTCAGAGATAACGGGTGACAAGATTATTACAGAGATATAACCCTAACCCTAATGTGTCAAAGCAGGAAAGTGTCAGCAGGAATACAAAACCAACATAAAAGGACTCGTTAAAAGGAACAAGTTAACCAATTAAGAAGGTTCAATTACAGCTGTGAGGAAAGAAAAGAAAAGAAGAAGAAAATGAAAAGGAAAAGGAACGAAAAGAAACAAGGTAAGGTAATAATAATAATAACATAATTGCAACACCATATAATAATAAATTAACAGAAATAGCACATCTTAATGGCATAAATTAAAACTCTTACAGGAACACCACACTGTCATGTCGTCATGAGAGGGACAATACAACACCATGGAGAGATGTAGTGAAATTGAATTGAATTAAATATCCAGAGATGCATAGCAGGTGATAGGCCAAGAGACGATAATAAGATAAAGTAGTGACAAGCGTGATCGCAATACAAAAATAGAATAAGAAATGCCAGGAAGTATAATAAAAGAGAAAATAAAGGAACAAAACAAGGAAGAAAGACCAGTATCGAATGACAATGAAAGTGAAGTCAAAGTAAAGTATGAAATGAACAGCAAGCACAGCAAGGATCGATGCAAAATAAATAAAATAAAATAAAATTATAAAAAAAAAGAAAACCATTGCAATGTACAAATACTGAAATATTGAAATCATTAACAGGAACCACCTAACAACCGCTATCACATCTGAGAGGAATAGACAGAATAGACAGAACATTGTATCAGCCTAAAAGAAAATTAATCAGAAATAAATCAAAAATAAATCAAATCAGATCAGTGTATCAACTTTAATCAATCAAAATCAAAATGAATGAATAATAAATGAATAATGAATGCGAGTGAACAGCTAAGATATTAACAAATTAAGAAAATAAAGAAAATGTAAAGTGTAACGCCTAACAAACATAGCCAATCTAATGTAATATAATGTAAAATAAAGTAAAAATAAAATAAATACAAGTGAATTATGAATTGTATTCCAACCAAACATAACCGTAAAGATTATTGGCTCCATTACTATTACTTTATAAATTATGAATTATAAATTGTAAGTGATTATGTCCATACAAATGCGAAAAGAAAGTAGAAATTAATAACCGAATGATGTATAAAGATAATAAATAAAAGCGACAACCAAATCAAATCAAATGTAAGCTGCGTGGTTCCGTCAAACGCCATACTGCTACATAGTAAAAGAATAAACTAAAAGAATAACAAATAAATAAATAAATAAGTAAATAAATAAGTAGAGTATTTGAAATGATATTCAAATGGTGAGATTATAACAGAAGCCACGCGCTATCAAGCATTTGAATGGACAAAATCACCTATCCTCACAGGAAGATTAACCGTACCCAAAACCAAATAAATAAATGAATAATAAGCGAATGAATGAATGAGTAAGCAATAGAGCAATTAAAGAAAGTAAAGAAAGTGTAAAGTATAGTATATAGACCAAAGTAACCAACATAATATAATGTAACACAAAATAAAATAGAATAAGATACATTGAAGTGCATTCCACCAACAAGTGTAACCATACACTTATTCATCCATCTCGCATAAACGCAGTCATCCAATGAGGCTAAATCAAATAAATTTACAAAATCCATTGCGTTGAATATGCAATGAGGCAGATTATATTATACTAAACAGACATCATATTAACAAGGTACGGTAAGATAAAACGAGTACACTCAGCACTCAACAAGGCAACCAAGTGTTTCAGATATAACTGTCAATTAACTTTATCCATTAATTAGCCGTAGAAAGATTGTTACGTCCGGAAAAATTTTGCAAATTTGTCCGCCTCACTTCCCTTATCAAGCCTTCGGATTGTAGGAGTTTCCTCATGTAAGGGGCGTGGGGAGGGCAAATTACTACTGCACCTTTCTTTAATTTCTCCTTGACTCTGTGCTTTCCCATCAAGCCTTCGGGTTGTAAGAGACTTCTTCATGTGGGAAATGCGCAGGGAAAGGTTTGAGCTTATAATTATTCTACTTTTGTCTTTCCTATTCTTTCATTCTTCTCATACTTCTCAATTCTTTTCTTAGTTGAAACCCCTCCTTGAAACTATCGTCGTGCTCAACTGTGTAGTAATAGAATTCGAGATAGAAAAACTCGGTTTCGACCGAGGAGAGATATCGTAAACAGCGTTCGCTGCGCGGTTAGCCAGTGCTTCGCATTGTAGGGGTCTCCTCAGGTTAACTGCGCAAAAGCGTAAAGATCAATTTATCTTTAGATTTTTTACTGATACTCTCCTCTTTTCCACGCGTAGGCGCCAGTCGGTCCCAAGCCCGATCGTACGTGCGAATTGAGTGTTGCAATGAAGGTATGAAATAGCATGAAATTCAAATATTCGAATGAGTGCAAAGGGCAAGGATAGAGAACCCTCACCAGCGAACGTTAGCAACATGCGAGAACTGTTTAGAGACGAAGGGTCACACAGGGTAATAAAAGTCATTGTATCGAATTCCGAGAATTAGCTGAAACTAAGACCCAACGGTACGATTTTGAACAGGAAGAACGTTCTCGAACAAAGTTCGCTGCGAATACAGAAATTAATATTCGAATATCAAACAATTGAATACTATTGAAATTATCAGTTAAACCATCGTATGCTATTAGGATTTTTAGCGAACAACTTGCGTTACCACCGCAATTGGTATTGTTGATCGATTTCTCTGTGAACAAAATGATTATGGACAAGCCAACTGTTAATTAAGAAACCTCGTGATAACCGGTCCATTATTCATACATAATAGTACAACAGATATAGTTCATGTTTATAGCTACCCGCATATTTATTGTTCAATAATTCTGATTTAAACTATTAGTTGATAATCGCATCATTATATATATCTAATATTGGAATTATGGATGAGAATAGAACATTCCACAAATTCTACGGCGTAGAAACATCGATAAGCCGTTAGACAGAGATGGAACACCAGAAAGAGAGAGAGAAAATGATCTAAAGGATTTCGTCTGGCACGCGCCCTTAAACAATAGCGACGCACGCGACGCTGTCGTCACGCGCTATGATTTGCCGAAATGTCCCCACGCAGGACATCGTCCTCGCGACGGGCCCTTCCGGCTAGGATCGCGATCGATTCTGATCACTTTTCGTCGAACAATCGAGTAAGTCGTGACGGGAGCCCGTGCGTTTAGAGATAGAGTTGTCGTTCGTACTTCGTTGTAATTTACCTGCGCGGCAAGACCTACGAATTAGGCAGAGTGTCGTGAGAGTGAAATTCCGGATACGCGGCAAAGACTCAGAGACGCGCACGTAAAGCCATTTCACACTATTAAACCTCTATCTTTTCTCTTTCTTTTAATCCGTTGTTCGCGTAATTTTCGTATTAAATTCACTCGCGTTTATTATTATATTATTCCGAAGAGCGTAATCGTCTTGTGTTCGTCTAATTAATTTTGCAACAAACGACAAACGGGCGCGCGACAAGTGTAGTGCTGCCACAGATCTCTCAACCTTTCTTGGTGTTCCAGATCAACCAGCGATTTTTCAACGTTCAACCAGCGAATTAACAACCGATTATATCATATATAATACTCTACATTCTCACGGTAAGCCTGTTCTGTACTAATTCGTCGAGCACGGCATTAACATTCAATTTAGACACGGCAAAACGGGCGATCTATTAAGCCTACGGGTTATAAGAATCTCTTCATTTTAGATCGTCTCGTTTCTACAGTCAGGTACCGATTATACTATTTTTTTTTCGCTATTTTAATATTCCGAAATTTTTTCAATCATCCCGAATACATGTGAGTGACGATTGTTTCGACTGCGAGGTATTTTACCAGGGACGACCTGTAAGGCCCTTCCGGGGGTTATAAGAGTCTCTTCATTCAGGTCGTTTCCTTGCGGATAGAAACCGCCTAAAATTTGATTTTTCATTATATCCGGTCGAGGCAGTCGTCCTACGTTAACCATATATTTTTCACACTTCAAATACGTGTAATAATTACAATAGAAGCTCTCATTGTAAACCAAAAGTTAGACATTTTTCCGATTTTCATTTATATTATTAACGTACAATAGGTTAAGCATCCTTACCCTTGTTCAAACAGTATTGTTATCAATTGAATTTACTTAACAGTGATTAACAGAAATCAAATAGAATCATTTTAGTATTCAAACAATAGTCATTGCAAAATTCAGTTCTGTTAGCTTCAATAGTTATTTTTGAATTAAATTACTTTTTTTTGCACACTAAATTGCATTCACATTTCTTTCAAGTTCCATTCTGTATCATCTCCTTTGTCATATTACATTTTAAACCCACGCATACCAACACAAGGTTTCAAGGAGGGACCCGTATGGGACCCAGAGCGCTGACGAACCCAACGGAAATACTATCTAAATTTTCCGTCTTTTAATTTCGTTCTGACCGTAGAGGACGCTTCCGCGTCATACGCGGTCAGAACTGGTGGCAGCGATACCTTTCTCATCGCCCAAAAATAAGAATTATTTTCATTTTTCTTTTACGTTGCGCGCTCTCGCAACGCGCAACGTAACAGATAATACAATGCAAAATATTACACAATACTAACCGAATTTATTGCAAATAATATGTAAATTGGGTATAAGTATAAGTATGAGAATATGTATAAGTATAATAATAATATAGTATAAGTGTCAATGTAAATAAATGTGTAAATATAAATATATAAATATAATATAACAGAAAACGGAGCACAATAGCACACATTGCCACTCATTGCAATGGGTACACGCACAAATCACAAACATACATGCACCGATATTCAATATTCAATATTTAATGGTTCAATCAAAACTCAGCAATTTAACGATTCTGTTGGTATATGTATACATTTCTATTGATTCACTATTCTATGGTTTTGTAACGGTTTCCTCTAAGATAAGATTCTTTTGTTATATACATGGTATGCTTGGCAAGATGGATGCCGTAAAGAAGAGTTTCTGTTCAGTTCTTTTATATATTAATTTTCCTTAGCATTAAGCAATATTTAACCATACATATAATAAAATATATTCAAGCATTCACATATCTAATGTTATTTTAATAGATTCAATTAATAATTCCATATACGATCTTCCTCCATGTCTCGACCGAGTACAGTAATGCTCGGCTAAATTTCACTGAAATCTGCTCGGTTAAATTTCCACGACCCAGCCCCACTCTTCTCCTACCACTCAGCACAGCGAGCTCGGCGAAACCTGATCTCAGTAGACAAAGACAGAAAATGAATACAATGAAAAGAAAGAGAACAGACGTACATCAAATGGATGCCGCGACTGGAAAAAATAAACATGCAGTAAAGAAAATTTTATTTTCAGTCATTTTCGTCTTACGTTTATAATTGTAGCATCGATGGATAGTTGACATTCTTCCGATTAAAATGAATCCAAACACGATATAATTTGAACCATATTTACTGTACATGATCCATTATGATTTACATTATGATTAACTCTACGTGATTTCTTATGAAATTATTAGATAACGTAAATACAAACCGATTTACGTCGTGTTTGGACTTATTTCAATCAGAAGGATCTCAATAATTCAATGGTATAATTTTCATAAAAATAAGTTGAAAATTACCGATAGTGAAATTCTCGTTATTGCATGTTCACTTTTTTCACTCGCGGCATCTCTTTAAAGTGACGTGCCTCGAGCGTCTCGCTTCCTCCTATCGTATCTATTCTCTTATTCTGTCAAGTTCTGCTCGAGTTAATTCTCGGAATAAAAACGCTACCCTGCTCGCGTTAATTTCACTGCTGACTCCCGAACGTAGTGAAATTTAGCCGAGCATTACTATGGCACATAGAGATGGAGTAAACCAGTGCCGCCGATGATCATGTCAACCAAAGATAAGAAACCGAGTGAAACTTAAGCCATAAACCATACGCCATATAGATGCGTAACCTTCGAGAAATTTCGTAAAATTTACAGTTCGTCCCATTATGTCTGTTGACTATCAAATTAGTTATCAAATTAAGGGCACAGACTCCTTCGTGGCCTCCTCCGAATCGATGTAAGCGCCATTATAAAGATTCGGGCAATCGTGAAAACATATAATTGATAAATGTGACATTTGACGGTGTGACATCTAACGTCATTATGTAGAATAAGAAACGAAAGTGAGGTGGCGTAATTGTCGAATCACATTATTTGAGAGTTCTGTCGCGGTGTTGCCACATCTGTGACAATCCTGACCATCTAGCAAAATGAATTCGCTCGAGCCGAGCGAGATTTTGATTCCAGGCGGACATAGAAAAGGATAGCGCGATAGAAAGAGAAGGAGTATCATGAATCAAACAACGTAGTACCGATCGGCGGAAATACATATGTTCGAGTCACACGCCACGACAGATTCGATGAGACTGTAATACACATAATGTACGCGACTATAAAATTTATACGAATAAAAACTACATGGTATTAATAATTTCAGAAAGGGAATGGAAAATAAACAGATGTATGTAAATTGATCTATATATACAATATTTATTTATTGAAATATTATCAATATATATAAACAATAATTGGCCGCCCGCCGCCCGCTTCGGCCTCTTCTTTCTCCGCGGCGTCTGCATCGTCGATTACCATGACAGCCATCCCAGTCATGTGGTATTGAATTTGTTTTATCTGAAACATAATAATGAATGTTTTATAAGAAGAAAAAGCAATCATGGAAATTCAGTGGCTACTGTTGTAGACATAATTTCCATTTCACGAAAAATCTAATTCTGCCACATTTATTACATACAAGAATCAACGCTTTTACTTACTTGCGACGTTGACGGCCTCGGATTCTCCTTTCTCTTCCCTTTTATCCGACTTCGTTCCTTAGACCTTATCCTCTTTCTTTTCTTCTTCTTCTTCCTCGTCCATCTGTGAAGAAAGTAATTTATGTATAGATAACATAATATTAATTATGTAAGATTATACTTGCCGATTATACGTGATCAGACAGCATATTTGCAGTCCATTTGTCCTGGTAGGTAATGCTTTCTTGAATATACCTATATATAATTTTTTAATTTATTTCGAGAAGAGGAAAATGCTGTTTTTAATTTCTGAACGACAAAAATGTTCATGCAAAGATGAAGATGAATGATGATAAATATTGAAAAAAGAAAAAGTTAATTGAAAAGATGATATAAGACATTAATAATTTCATGAAGGGAATAAGAAAAAAATTGTTTCAGCTGAAAAAATAAATTTAGAGTCCTACGCTCGCTTCGCTCCAAAAAACCTCTTCTCGGGAATCCTTTCTTCGAAAATCTGTAACAAATTTTAATAAATATAGTATGGCATCGCGCAACTCACGAGATCGTATGATCCGCGAGTACAATTGCTATTTCATGCAATTGTGAACCACCAACAGAGTCAGTGTTACTACACTTTACAGTGCAGTGCGACGCCGGACAGTAACAGTATTTTTGCGTCGAGCAACTCACGAGATCGTATGATCCGCGAGTACAATTGCTATTTCATGCAATTGTGAACCACCAACAGAGTCAGTGTTACTGCACTTTACAGTGCAGTGCGACGCCGGACAGTAGCAATATTCGTGCTACTTTCTGAGAGGGACCTTTTGCGCTTTTCCAAGCTTGCTCTCTCCTCTGTTATAAATTGAGGCTCCCGAATGGGCATTCCCCTATTGTACCGGCTATCTATTAATTCCGGTAACATGCACAATAAATAAAATTGAATTAATTTTGGCTCCATATTCTTTTGCCAAAAATTATCGTCTCTATCGACTCTAATGTACTTTAACCCTTTTCGGGTCCAAATACAAAATAAGCAATATTTTCTACCTGTGACATGTAGTTGTCCTTGTACTTGGTAGTAATAGTAGTGGTTCCTGTTCAATTCATTTCCTTCTGCGTCTGCAAATATACGCCGAATAACTGCAACACTTTTGATTGCCTCCTCCGGCAATAAATTCTCCGCCGTTTTCGGACATTTGATTTCCACAATGCCCTCTTCGTCTATAAGTCCATCTGGCGAAGCTCCTAAGAACGGGATGGCACTATCAATAAATAATCCACATTCTTTAATTTCAACACCAATGCACACACTTAGTTGTTCACGTGCGAATTTTTCGCATTCCTGTCCATATTGTACTGCAGGTGCACTAATCAGTCGTGGATACACTAACGACTTCACTGAATTTCCACAGAGCATGCCAATTCGACGACGGCATATTCGTCCGAAATTTGAGGCCGTCAATAATTTAGATTTGTAATTCAACCATCTCGAATTTTTCGCTTGACCGATGGTTTCTTCTTCAATGGCATCTCTTCTATTTTACCAATTCTGTAACATTTCCATATGTTTTTTTTGCTCTAATTCATAAATATTGTTAGCCATATCCGGCTTTTCAGCATTTGGTCCGTAATTGGAATCCTTTTCAGAACGGAATTGTTTCCGCACGTGTTTTGTAATTTTTTTTTCCTTTCTCTTTTCACTGTATTTCTCATTTTCTTTCTTCCTTCTATTTTCTATTTTGCGTAAAATAACGGGCGGTTCCTTGTTTATCGCCGTATTCAGACGCGACAACACTTATTTTGTGTTATACTGTAGGACAGCAGCAGCACATCTTCCCGTGTAAGATCCCCTCTCGCCGAAATTCAATCTTTTTCCTCCTGTATATTTTGCGATGATTCCGTTGAAACTTTCGACGGCATTATTGTTGCTGTTATACAGCAAACTCTCAGCATGCGCCAACAGAGATCGAAGTATTTCTTTGATTTGTTCATACACTCCCATCTTCATCAATTCGGGAACAATGTTCTTTTCATCTTTTTTACTCGTTCCATCGCAGAAGTATTGTAGTTTTGAACAATCTGCGTGTTCACCAAAAACATGGCTAGGAACATTGTGTATGTCGGCATACAAATTCTTAATTTTTTCAGCGGTTGTTACTTGCTGACTGTATCTGTACTCTGCGGCTTTTACTATGTCCGCAAGCATTCGCCGAATGCTGCTTTCAACGATTCTTCTGAATGGACCAGGTGTTGCCATCTTTACAACTTCTTTCATTTTTCTGCAAAAGTTTCGCAATAAATGATTCGTGCATTCAATTTTTTTTACACGAATCTGTGCTTTATATGGTTCTGCATCTATAATTTTTTTATAAACGCTGCTGTCCCCATCAGCAATCAGTGTTGAATAAATCAGCCCACGTTTTTCTACGCTGGTCTTGAAGCCTTCGACTATAGCGTCACTTTCCATAGCCGTTGATGCTTGGCTTGCGCTCCAATTTTTAAAACAGGTGTGCTTTCGTGGCTCTTCTTTCTTTTTCGCAGCACATCGGCAAATCCTGCACACCTTGTTTCTCACACCAATAAATAAAACTTTCTTCGTGTGATATCCAATTATAACGCCGACTCCAGACGCGGAATTGTACGTTCCAGTCCGGTATGATCGTTTCATCCAGCTTCCATCGGCCACAACGGGGATGTGAGGGATTCCACATCCGGAAACAATATCGCCTCTTTCAATGGCCAAGCGTTTTTCTTCCTCTGCCGCTGTTACCATCTCTTCTTCTGCAGCAACAATTAGTGCTTTCACGATTTTATCGTGATGCTTTCTAAATTCTTTCTTCGACATGGAGGGTATGTTCATCGCTGCAAGGAACTCCTCCATTTGGGCATAACTGCCTCCATTCACAATTGTTCCAGCAACTGCACACTGGTTTGTTTCCATTTTATTGCTTTTGTCAGGTTCACTGTGGATTTCACCTTTATATTTGCACATATCGCATATTACACTGAGGGTGGTCCTCAGGCCCGACCGTTTCATGCCGGTTATTTTCAGGTGTCTAATTCCACAGTCTTCCCTGTTTTTAGCATGGTCACTTATTTTCTGAAATTCAGCAAAGATGTGCTGCATGTCCACGATACTGAAGCCATTTGGTATACAGAATTGTTCTTCAGGCTCGTTCGTTACAACTTTCTGTATCATCAGTTCTTCATTTTCTGAATTTGTGCCTTCCATATTTATCCCATCTTCAGCATTGTTTGTTTCTTCAATTTCAAACAATTCATTCGTCGTTTCTTCAAAAATTTCTGTCGAATTTGCCGTTTCTGTTTGCCGTGTATCTTTGTCCATCGGATGTTGATTGTACGGAACTTTTCTGAAGGGCTAACCGCCGCCTTCTTTCGCGGCATGCTGTTTTTTTCGAATATCTTTTCGTACTGATTGTATATTTTGGCCGACGACTTCTATTATCCGCCACACATTCATTTCTCCTATCTTCAATCACTTCAATCATGAGAACATTTTCACTATCACTCATTGTCACTATCACACCACAATATTCACCTCTCGCTTTGATCACTTCACACTTTCGAAGCTTTGAAATAAATTCAATGATGCTATCTATTTCTTGCTTCGAATGCAACTGTCGCGAAAACGTAAAATGCAATACGGAGAAACATAGGGCACCATGGTGGGGAGTGTTTCTAAGGACTACGAAAAATAAAGAACAATGACAAAAAAAAACTTTTGAAGTTGTATTCATTTATAATATTATGAATTAAAATTATAAAACAAAAATATAACATGAAAATAAGAATGTAATCCGTAAAATAAAAAATTAGAAAATAGGAAAAGGTCTATTTTATAAAACAGTGAACACGGTCCTGATCCCCACCACCATTCGAGTGGTTTCAGCATCAACGACAAAAGACAATCAAAGAAAGCAAGATGTCAGACCACGAGGTGCGTATAATCGGCCAGTAAAATATTATATCATTAATATTACGTTATTTATATATAAATTACTTTCTTTACAGATGGAAGTGGACAGAAATGAGACAGGGAAGAAAGGAGAGAAGGTAGAGAGGAAGGAAGAAAAGAAAGAAAATAAAGAAGCGGAAAAAGAGAGAAAGAAGGAAGAAGAGAAACAGAAGGAAAAGCAGCAGTCGGCGTCGTCGTCGTCGTCGTCGCAAGTAAGTAAAAACATTGCTTTTCCTATGTAATAAATGTGGCAGAATTAGATTTTCGTGAAAAGAAGTCATTTCTACAATAGTAGCAAATGAATTTACACGATTATCTTTTGTTTTTTTTTAATAATGTCACAATTTTAGTACCATTCATTATTATATTTCAGATTAAAAAGCTGTTAAAGAAAATGGTATATGGCGGTGGCCACCGTCGAAGCAAATGGGGCGGCCGCCGTGGAGGACGAGGATGGCGCGGCGGCGGCGGCGGCGGCGGCAGAGGAAGAGGACGGCGCGGCGGCGGCAGAGGAGGACGGAATGTAATCGTAAACTATTATTGAAAAATGTATAAAAATAATAAAAAGAATATATGATTAATTAGTACATATCTCTTTATTTCTTATTCCCTGCGGGCGAAAATATTCGCGACCAGAAATTCGTACGAGTGCGAGTGAGAAAGCAAGATGACAAAATCGATGTCGTTTCGTGCGACAAAACACAGTCTGTCTCGCAAAGCCATCGGTATCGTCATCTTGCTTTCTCACTCGCACTCGTATGTATTACACCGTCCGCGCGATCAGCTGTCACCGGCGAGCATCAGCCGCCGATTCTTTGTTTTCTATTTATAAACGCGTTTAGAATTACTGTAAAACTGTTGCATCCTCACTCCCTCCGATTCACCTTCTTGAAATTATTAATGTTCTGCAGTTTTCATTCCTATAAGTTTTATGGTCGCGTACATTATGTGTATTATTTCGTTCTTGCTACCTCTCTTTCGTTCGCGCTGTCCTTCTGTATGTCCGGCAGGAATCAAAATCTTTTAAGTAAATAATAAATACATAAATAGGAACACAAACAGCACATGTATATCGCCTTCTATATCTTTTTGCATATAGAATATGCGAATATTGCGAAATGTGCAAGTTTTATAACTCATTTCTCTGGCATATTTCTATATTTTTCATTGATAAAAAAACATGATTATAAATATGAATAAAAAAGTTTTATGGTTTGCCACACATTATGTATTGTTTCATTCTGAGACCTCTTTATCGGCTCGAGCTGATTCATTGTGCTGATGATTAAAATTGTAACAGGTGTGAACAGCGTGACAGAAGTTTTAATACGTTGCGGCAACTATGCCTTACTTGTGGCTATATTCGCGTAGCCATTTGTGGTGTCAAATTAGAATTTACACTTATCGACTGATCTGTGTTTTTATCGACCCTGATGATAACGTGGTCAAATATACCATCAATGCCTCTGACGGAGAATCACTGAACTATTCTTATGTCTATTTGACGTCTGATGCGTGCAAATCGTAGATTCCATTTTACGTCTTCCAGAAGTGATAAATTGTGAAAAATCGAATTTCAGTGATATTGTGCTAGTTCAAGGGAAGTTGGTCTGCTCTGTTATCAGTGAAAAAACGATTAAATCGTCCAATATTCGCTAAAATGTAACCGAACGCAGCATTTGGCAGCCATGTTGTTTGCTTACAAAATTCCATTTTTCTCAACGTATGATGTTTATTAGCGTTCAAGCGGACCAGACCGACCTGTAGCGAAGTCTACCCGTGTGTGCTGTACCCGCGAAAATTTCATTTATGCAATTATCGAGACGAAAAATGGAATCTACGAAATCGAGTGTCTCTCTCACACATGTCGTATACGTGCATGCTTTCCGTTGATTGTGTGAGTGCACGAATACAGGTCATGGCACAAGGAGTCTGTGCCCTTAAGGCGATGCGAGCGTCGAAAACTTTACCGACAGTCCCTAGAAAATTCCCTAGAACGTAGAACCCACCATTTTTTGTTCCTGCTGAACAGATTGCAAAGAAATTTGAGGGATGTGTTCAGGAGGCCCTAAAGAATGGCGCTCTGGTCCTTATTTTACCTAAATCGTCAAAAAATTGTAATATATTGAAATTGCTGTCTGTCCACGGTCAAGAAAATGGCGGATCGGACTCGCCTGCATTAATTTATTCGTAATATAAACATTTTTGCGAATCGAATGTCCAAATAGAGACCAGAACGATAGAGCAAAACGAGCACTCGGGTAATGGTGTACAAGCTTTCGTTTAGAAAAATAGTGGGTTCTACGATTTCGTTGATTTTTCACTCGCGAAAGACGTCAAAAAGGTAAAACAGACCACAAATTTAGTTCCTTGTTTTTTCTGTAGGACGCAGTTTGTTCGTTTTCTGTGCTCGACCGCGCGCTCATTCGCAGCTCGTGTATGTGAATATGTGTGCGTCAATCGAACCGTCGACGACGATACAATGTATCGTGGAGAATGGGACGTTCGAGCCTGGAAGAGGCGATGAACTATGACGCGTGAATTTCTTTTTCGTGCATCGTTCTATCGACTAGGATAGCCATTTTCAACCCATGTGTCACAAGACGTACTATCATTATGTTTTGTTGCTATTATTATTCTTTTTTTTAGTGAAACTGCAGAACAAATACGTCCTTCCCGATTTCGATGATTTTTTGATATGTTATAAAAATTGATATTTTGAACAACTTTTTCTTATACATACAAGGAGCGTTCTCGCTTACTTTCCGAGATACTTGCAAGAATATAGTTGTTGATCTGTGACAGCATACATTGCGTCAAATTGCTTGCCACTTTTCTGTTTAGAAACGAGGGTCGAACGAGAGTGAAGGTTTCGTTCACAACTGCACATACCAGACTCCAAGAAATGTCTATTCAAACCCAATTATAAGTAAATGTTATTGATGTAATCAGTTAGGTTATAGTATATATGTACATCCGGCCGCCTGCGGTCGGAAACGCTTTCGTGAAATAATAACAAATTATTTATAATACGCATTTTTAATGGCTTTTGTGCATTTCTTGCAATTTCTTTTTACTTCTTATTATTATTGCAGAAAAACGTTGCCGGCCACTTTACGGCTGCAACGTAACCCATCACATCAATAATATTCACCTCTAATTGAATTTGAATACACATTTCTTGAAATCTCGGATATGCAGTTATGAATGGAACCTTTACGATCCCTGACCTTCTTTCTAAACAGAAGACAAATGGCCAGCGGATGGCAACCAACACTTATGCATGTGTTGTCGCAGACGCACATCTATAGGCAGAATTCAATGTGTTATATAGATAGATTTTTCATTGTCAGCGGTTTATTTCATTTCAACGGCACAAAACATCCTGGATTTTTAATATTTTTCAGTCACTACTGCTACACACGATCTGTACAGGAGAGTAGTGAAATGCTAATTACTTAGCATCCCGAAAATAAATATGTTGCCAGATGTATTAAAGTTTTTGTAGACAGATAAGTAGTACATTCTTTCAGCATATAATCTGATATTATGCTGGACTCTCCTGATTTTGCGTTACGCCCAAATATTCGATGAATAGAAAACGAAAATGTGACGCTGGAAGAACAACACGGTTGGAGTGAGTTCTTCAATGCTGGCGAACGTAGGAAAGGACAAATAGCAAAAGAGAAAGAGGTCCGAGAAAAACGGCCCGAGAAAAAACATTTGAGAGAGACAACATTAATTCAACAATAACTGTTTTATTTTTCATTTTTGCTAAATGAAACGTTCACCAATGTCATTGTAAGGTTCTACTGATTAAAATAAGACCAAACACCATATAATTTGCATTATTTTTACTTATTTAGATATAAATAAGTAAATAAATAATTATAATTCAAATTATGTCATGTTTGATCTTGTTTTAATCAAAAAAATCTAACAAATACATTATTACATTTTCACTATAAAAATTAAAAAATTTTGATTGCGTTAGTATTGTCTCACATGTATTCGGGTATTTTGCTTTTTTCCTGTACACCTCGATTCTCGGCTGTCATCACATCAAACGCGAGCCGAACTCACTCGAGAAACGTGTTCTGTACACGATTCGAGTTTGCATTCGGTTCCGATTGAAATGCACGAATCGAGATTTTGCTGTATTTACACATTTTTATGCTGCTGGTGGCCGTGAATAAAAAGAGGATTTTACAGGAAATAAGATACATGAATACAAAGTGTTGAAACATAGATAAGGGAAATGTCACTCAATTTTGAAGAGGCAAAGAAAAAATGTACAGTGGCGTCAACTCTGCGTTTACATGCGGCGCGAACCAAGCGTGAACGTAGAAAGGGACAAACAGTGGAGAAGAGAGAGGTCCAAGAATTCTAAGCTAGGAGCCGAAACATATCGGCGTGACTGATGCTTTTTTATTTCTGACATTTTCTGAATGAAACTTTTACTAACGCATTGTCGGACTAATTACCTTGACGACCTCGCTAATAAGCCTATGCTCCAACAGTGCATAATATATTACTATTCTCTTATTCTGTCGGGAAGGGCGACAGTCTATTATTTTCAATAATATTTACGAAGTGACATCTCAGCCGCTGTATGTCATGGGAATAGTTTTCTGAGCAAGGGTTTCCACCCAAAACTATGGTAGTGATGTATGCCGCCGCGTATACACCACAGCTGTAACAATCTGGTTGCGCCTGAACTCTTTCAAAAAGTATATCATTTTTGCGAATATGAGGAAATCGTAATGCAATATATTTTTTTTCTTTCTCTACGAGCTTGTCGTATGCACTGCCAGGTAAACTGTCGTATACATGGAGTTTGCGACCGTCGAAATAGATACTTCGCCAGTGATCAGAACAGTTGCCTCCAATTATTTGCACGCTTTTGTCACTACAGCAGGGCTTGATAAATTTTGTAAACTGTAAGTATAGGACACTTTGCGTTTCAAAAGGAGTAGAGAAATGAAAAAACCGGAAGAAGCGGAGTCGCTGTTGCAGCTGCAACAGCAGCAATCGTTGCAGATGCAACAGAATAAGACGGAACTTGCAACCCTGCGGCAGCAAATACAGGAACTAAAGGGCGAACGGCAACATGCTGGGCTTATCGTAAGTCATTTTTCTGCGTTCATGTTCATACGTTATTTCTGCTATTGTTTATACATAATACCATAATATTTATTTTTGCAGCCGCAGCACCAGCCGCCGCAGCCGCAGCACCAGCCGCCGTATCTGGCCTATCCGGCGTATCAGTCCTCAGTAGGCGGGCTCTACGCGCCGGAACAGCCAACCGTAAGTCGTTTTTTTACGTTATTTCTGCTATTCATTGTTTATGAATAATAACATTATATTTATTTCTCCAGGCATACAGGTCAGAACAGCGGCTGTTCCGGCAACGCCGCAGAGAGGCAAGGCGGCCGCGGCCGCAGTCACTGCCCCTACAGCGGCCCGTGCGGATGCACGCAGAACTGCGGCGCGGGCCGCAGTAGCTGTACTTGCTGCTGCGGGCGGCACACTTGAAGTGAGTACGACGATAATATCTGTATATGTAATAATGACAAAGATAATATAAAAATATGACTTGTTTGATTTCAGGAAAAAATTATAAAATAACATTTTATTTTATTATTATTATTATTATTATTATTACTAGTATAAGTTAAAATTTTTATACATTTAAATATTCTTGTTTCATTTTATTTTATTATTATTATTATTATTATTATTATTATTATTATTATTATTATAAATTAAAATTTTTATACATTTAAATATTCTAGTTTCATTTTATTTTATTATTATTATTATTATTATTATTATTATTATTATTATTATTATTATTATTATTATTATTGGTATTAATTTTTATAATAAATATTTTCATTGTCTATTTACATTCTTGTCATTTATTCCCCTATTACTTATCCTGTGTACTAACGATGTACATACAGGTACATTGGCGATTTCATTGAAAAGGATAAACTAACCTTAGGCATTCGATTGGTAGGAATTCACAGTACAATATCAGGACATATTATAAAACAAATAACTTTAGATATTCGATTTGTAGGAATATTCTTTCCCTGGTTATGTTATATTACAATAAATGTATATATAATATTTGGCTGAAGGAGTTAGATCATTCATACATTTCCTAGGTGATATATGCAGTATCGTATTTTATACTTTGGCGATGACATACATAATATAGCTATCGTAGCATCCGTGTGTCATTTAGGTGTGACGTAGCATAGCATGCCGTTAGTTGGATGTGATAACTGAGGTGGCGCTGAAATCAGTTTCTGTTTGGCCTAATTTTCGATGAAACGTTGACTATTTTACCAACGCGGAATTTGGAGTTCGGCCTCGACGCTCGCATCACCTTAAC